ATGGTCACGCCGGGCACTAATCCCATCTTTAAAACTTTTTTCTTTTTATTCTTCGTTCTAGTGAATAGTGACATTCAATGAACATATTCAGTAATATCACAGAAATACTCAAAAGCATTATTTCTTCAACACTTGCTGATTATTGTGTTAAATGTACTAGTCTAAACGCTGTCGAGCAAAACATTTAAATAAACGCAAACAATAATAGAGAAGTAAATACAGGCGAAATTGGCATGCACTTACTTTTCTTTTGAGGAAATTTTTCCCAGCAAAAAACGAGTTCATGATTAGCAAAGACCGAGTTCGAAAAATGATTTTTCACTTTGATTCCTGTCTATCTTTTCGTCTACTTAATCAACAACAAAGATTTACGAGAGTTACATAGAGAAATGATCCCACTAAGATGAGATCTTCAAAACAGTTTATTTTAACAACAAATTTTCATTATCGTTTTTGTTTTAAGTTTTCATTTTATGTTGTTTTTCACTGATTTGACGTATGAAGCTATTATTGAATCAATTATGAAACAGAATAATGAAATCGAATAGGTTATTTTTATTTAATTTTATTCAAGATGAATACTTCATTTCTATTGGTCAAATTAAAATAAATGTGATAGATATTTCATGTTCGAAAAACAAAAAAATTGTCGATCTAGAAATTAACTCTATTCTTTTTCACTTGAGATATTTCTTTCTATATATGTTAATTATTGAAACCGGTGACAATCTGACTTCATTTCAACAATGCAAAAATAATCAAGTAAACGGTAAATGACAATAATTGTTGGACAAAGGTCATGAAATAATGTTGTACAAAATAGTATATTAGTTTTGATCGGCTAAAGATATTTATTATTCGGCTCATAGCTTTGCTATTGATCTTATTCATAGCCATAATGAGATTGTGGAATATGAAATAGATTCAATGACAGTGCGATATGAAAAAGTTATGGCCGAAAAATAAATTTAATAAAAAAAAAAAAAACCATATTTCAACAACTAATTCTTCTGAAATGAGAAATGATCCAATTGAGAGAAAGTTCGATGCAGCATTATTTTTTTTTGAAAGTCGTTCTTTTTTTATACAGAAAAATATATTTCATTAAGTAATTCTATTCTGAATTAACACTTTGAGCTGTGAAACAACTACTCCATGGAAACCATTCATTCCTAAAGAGAATGTATTATATTCAAATTTTTATAGAAACACAACTTCTATACATGTAAAGTCAATTATAAACTATTCTTTAGCGATGAGTATTAAGTGAAAATATTCGGTTTTGTTTTGGTTAAAACTATTCGATGTAATGATTACAGTATATTAATGATAAAAAAATCCAAGAGATGTCGTTAAGTACACTTTATATTTGGTATTTTAATGACGACATAATAGATTTCATAAAGGTATCATTTTATTCAAAAAATATAAATAACAATTATGAACAAATATATGTTATATGCACATGACAGTAATATTAATAGAAACAGATTTTTCATTCCAGGAATCAATCTTGTTTTATTTGGAGAAAACTAGTTTTGTTGTTTTTCTTCATCTCTAAATTCAATAATCAATCCTTATACAGTGAAAAATTCATATATTGCAGATGCTTCTAGTTTGCGTTCAGTCAAAATCACATTTTTTTTTCATAAAAGTATTAGTTTTTACTTCTCAGAAAAGATTGACTAATGAAAGACAACTTAAACTAAAAAGAACTTGTTTTTTCTTCATGAGAAATCTTTGAGAGAACCATTATCCTAAAGTTTTGTCGAATAATTTTTATTTTGAAAGCTTAACAAACTATACAGTGTCCAATGCTGTTACTCGCGCTGCTTCTTAGTGGAGAAAAGATTTGATAAATTAATGCTTTTTAGAAAGGTTGTATCTTCATTCTGAAGCATTTGTACATATATAATAGTCATGTCAAATATGAAAGAATGTTGTGTGAAAATTCCATTGAAATCTGAGTTGTACTTAAGTATACCCACTCACTTCATTGAGTATGTTTATTTGTAATACCTCATCGAAGAAAATAATGCTGATTTTATTTTTCATTGAAAAAGTCTTTGAGAGAACTTTTTACGATTAAATTCTTTTCACCAATTCAAAAAGCTGAAACAAGTAGTGTTTATTGATTAGTTGAATTGTTTGTAATGATAAATATTGCAATTAGAAGAATTACGATTCGATTTCAATCAATACATGCATTCATGTTCATCAACAAATAATTTTTATATTGCATTCCAATCGAGACATGGTGAGGAAATAAAAAAGAAGGAAGTGCAATCTGTATCAGAGCTCCGCAAGACAAATCCCGCACTTTAGCACACACCTATGCAAAGTCACCTAAACTTGAACAGAAAGCATGCATACTGTTGCATCTCATCGTTTGGTGGGCTCTTGAAGTATACTACTGAATAAACGAATCCGCACTTGCGCAATGCTTTCACATGACAAAAAGAGAAAAAGGCGTGCGATACGCGTAAACGTGAATTATGGCGCGGAACTGTCCAGTAGAGCTTTGACTCACAACACTAATCGAATTCATTGGACCGATCAATTAGGTTCAACAACATGGTAAAGAATAAATATAATTTAAATAGGTGAATAAATTTTTAAATTCGATTGAACTCACATGCTCCAGGGTAAGTATGATATTTATATAAATGAATAATTATTTTTATTTAGATTAATCTGTAGAACATCATCAAACAGAACATATAAATTTTATTAAATGTACACTTTTTTCAGCTAGTGTTGAACTACATTGCTCATAAATGTAAATTTCATTAAACAAATATTAAATATTTTTTTTCTTTAGATAAATCTGAACAATATCGTTCATAATCGAGTATAGATTTTAGTATTTAATTGTTATTTTGTTTTATTCAAACTAATCTGAATAATGGTGTCAAAAGGTAAATAGAAATTTTATTAAATACATATTCTTTTCTCATTTAGATTTAACTCAATAACATAGTCAAAGGTCAGTAATAAATTAAATGAATGAATAGTTTCTTTAGTTTTCCTGGAGAACGACCGAATATAGGGGAAAACGGGATGATGGAATCATAGAGACCAGACGGAGAAGGACAATAGGCCAAGATATTCAACTGTAAAATTCATTTGAAGTATGCATAAAAGCTTAGATGAATATTATAAGATCTTACAATAATATCATACAAGAATTGTACTCTATGATTTTATCAGACATACATGTTTTAAGATTGGCATATAAAATCGTACAAGATCTTATACGATTTTCATATGATCTTGTACGCCTATACAAGATCATACAGTAAGTTTCCATATAATGTTGTAAGAAGCGTACACAAGATTTTACAATCAGATTGTCTGTCCTGGGTAGACTTGTGACAGTTCACGATCAAGAAACTGAACTGGTATTACTTATTCATTTCTTTTCAACAAAAACTGGAGCTGATAACCAGTTCTTTTTTTTGACAAGTGAACAAGTACTGAACAGGATTTTATATTATCGTCATCGGTTAACCAAGTGCGTATGAAAAACAAAAACTGCTCACTTGACTTAGTTCTTAATAGAGAATCTATCACTGGACCTAGTTCTTAGAGCTGAGAGCTGTCACAGATACAATTCATCAACATGTATTTCCATGTTTATCATTATTTGCTCATCGTCTTTTTTCAATCACAGTTAATTTTGCTGAAGTTGCATGGATTTTTCTGTTACAAGTTTAGCAATTATTCAATGTCGTTCCACTCTTCATCGTCATAGTATGAGCGACATTTTTGTCTGTTAGATTCATAAAAAATGTTCTTGAACAAAAGCCTGACTTTTTTCCTCAATATTAATGTCTTTCTGTTCTTTTTTAATTTTTCTCTGTAACACCACTGGTCAATTCATAAATGTTTAATCTATGGTATAACCTTTCATTATAAAAGCTTCTATAATGTGAATACTTCAGTACAGTGAATACTTTAACTTCCCACCGAGCGTTTTTTGTTTGAAATGGACTGTTTCCTAATACGTATCTTCTGATAGTAAATTGCCAGTGCTTTTTTTTGACTTCAACCAACTAGAAAAATTTACTTAAAGTGAACGTTTTTTGTTCTATTTGGATTCTTACATACTCTCATGCACACATAAGAAGAAAATAGCTCTATATTGTGAACACTTAAATATTATCATGAATGGTTACATTAGAAAGTTTTTATTTCAGTTAGCTAAATTGATTCCAGTCACTTGTTGGACTTTCTATGAAGACTTATACTTAAATTCTGTTTTATTGTTGTCATGACATTGACATGAAAGAAAAATATACAGATCTTTTCAGGCAGGTAGACCTGAAGAAAGCATCACGAATAATATTCTACAGAGTTGAATTCAAACAGAAAAGATGTCCGATTGATTAGAAATGAATTGAGAACGTACAATATTCACATGAGAACAGCATAATTACTGAAAGTACAAGCTATTTTTTGCAGGAGATGATGAAACGTTTTCTCAACTTAATCTCTTTTAACAGAAGAGTACAAAATGAGGACTATTGTAATTAACAAGGGACACTGGAAAATAAAATTCATATTTTCAGATATTAAATTATAGCTATTTTCATTAATAAGAACGCCTTTTCTTGTTTATATAGACTTGACCTCTTTATTATAAAGGTAGGATATTTATAGCACTTGCAGTCATCCGAATAATGAAAGTAATTGCTTAGTTTCTTGTCGTTCAAGATCAACGTTCTATTTGCTAATTTCTACGATTGACAGAAGCACGATTGCATAAATTTTCTTTTCTGGGAGGCAACAGAAAGTGTTTTTTCTTCTTGTTCTTTCATTATTTATATTAAAATAAGTAAGAGTACCCATAACCCTAAGAACTACAAGAAGTCACATTGATAATATATGAAATGCTGTAAAACAGAACACACAAATCGTTGAAGTATTGTAAAAAGATTACCAATTATTTATTCTTTTGAATCATATACACCCGTATTCCAACACATATCTTAATGCTAATGAATTCTTACGGTATAACAACGAAACATTTACTTCGTTCATCATTAATTTGTCGTATATGTGGTGATGTAGCACGAGGTATGAATTTTGATGTTATGACTTGTATGGCTTGTAAAGCTTTTTTCCGACGAAATGCATTACGACCATTAGTAAGTTCTTATTTTTATCTTATAAAATTATCTAAATGACTTTAATGAATAGGATACGCCGCGATGTACACGAAAATCTAATTGTGAAATAACAATAAAAACACGAACAAAGTGTCCAGATTGTCGTTTAAAAAAATGTTTTGAATTAGGTATGAAAGCACAATTGATCCGTTCTTTTACTCGACATCAAACTGTTTATTATGATATTCGACAATCAATGACAACCCAGAAAAAATATATTCAATTACCAACGGTCAGAATTTTTTTTAAATATTTCCTTGGTTATGTTGTCTTTATTTTTGCATTCTCTAGCCTGAGCCACTTGATTTGTTTCCAAATAATCATTCTACACACGTAACTGAACAATGGAATCTTATTTCAAATTTTATTCATATCTATGATGAGCATAATATTATTAATAATATTAAATGTTTACTTACTGAAGAATCGTCTTTATCAGCAATACTACCTGTAAAACATTATTTTCATTGAATTATAATACATTTAAACAATGATTAAATGACTATCACATGTTCATTCTCTAGCAATTGGTTCTTGTCAAACATTTATCAAACATAGATATCTCACTATTTTTTTGAATAGAATTTTCATTAATCATGAAGTTGGTTTTTCGGAAAGAAAAAGATTGTGTATTATCCAACAATATTTTGTTTGTAACTAGTTATTTTATATAGTTTTCTGTAATACTAAAATGAAAGAAATCCAAATAATATATTGTTTAAAATTATGTTGTTTGTCATTCCCTTTCTAGTTAATTATTCCATTGTTGCCTTTGATACCCTGCTGAGTGTTAAAAATAAATCTAATTTAATTAATCTCATTCATGTTCAGCTTTTTTTTGTCATTGTGCGAAAATATTTAGTTTATTAATATGAATATACTGAATTAGTACTTCACTATTCCTCTCTCGTAAAAATACCATTAGATACTTTCCATCAATTAGAAGAATTGAGTCCAATAACTGCGGCAGGTTTTCGCGAAAAAAAAAGTTGTTTCTAGACACCGGATTCCTGTTTACAGGTTTCTACCATTTTCTTGAAATTTTTAGGTTGAAAATGATCCGCATTCTTGACCCTGGTAATTGGCCATAAGAAATGTTTTATATTAATAATCTTTATTATATGATTTGATAAAGTTCAAAAAATACTAGCAATTATAGATAATTCTTCTTTAGACCCTGCTATCAACTCGTTCTACTTCTATGTCTACGGTTTTTGATATAATAAAAAAGAGCGGAATTGATGAGTCGAAATGTCACAGATATACTACGATATTAATAATTTGATATTTTAGTAAACGACCGAATTTTATGTTGATAATAAAAAGAACAAGCTTTTTACATCATTCTTCATAAGATATTACTTATTGAGACTTATGTTGACTCAGTGTATAACATTACAATGGTGTCAAAAGTTTACAAAAATCATCTCTTATTGTTTTCTTGTAGTATCTATTCTTTATTCAAAATATAATCACAACAATTTTCTTAACGAATGGAACAAACGAAATTCAATTGTTTTTAGTGGTAACGGTTTCGTTGATTATCATTAGGTGTAACAGGTAAAATCAATACAATCGAGATTAGTATTTAAAAAAAGTAACAGCTTCAGGACAAGACAAGAATATTTATAGAGTATTAGAATATTTTTCCGTCAGCTCTTTAGACGGAAGTTCACGAGTTCATTCTTTTAGTTTTAGCATATTCAAGATACTATTGATCTTACAGGCTTATATTTGGCAACAATTGCCAATTCTTATATCGTTTTTTCTTTACCAAGAAGCTCTTAATAGCTCAAGTACGCCGCGCCTTTGTATTTTTGTCTAAAGCAAACCAAGATTGCCAAGTAGGCTATACTAAGAATATATCAAAAGCACTGTCATCTTCTCGGAAATAATACAGAAGCAAGTTCATTAAGGTTCTATTAGATCAAATATTTGAAATAATCGTCCTGATTGTTTATACATAATTACATTCGCTCAATTCATCTATTAAGCCTTTTTTAATAATCTTCGTTGTTGATTGAATTCAGGATCTTAGTTACAACACGATGCAATATTTCTGAATTACTTTGATCACGTTGACGTTGTTTGATCATATCAAATAGTCACAATCTCAGAACTTCAAGCCAGAAGAATTAGATGATTGTACTATGATCGTGATACGATCGGATTCAAGAAACGTAGAAAAATGCTTATGAATATGCGGTTTTGCATTACATGAAGTGCTGCAGACACTTTAATGTGGAAGTGAAAATTTTTGTTATTTATCTATAATAGGGGGTGTAACTTCCATCGAACTTTTCTCATATAACAATATCAATGGAAGAACGCTGATTTATTAAAGAAATATAAACTCAGGTCCATCAAAACTGATATCGTTTATGGTTTGTTTTTCACTAGTAAACGGGGACAAACAACAAATATAAGACAGTAAGTAGACCTTATCTTTTCGTAATCCTACTCACAATCATAGAGTATCGTATACAATATCATATTTTCACTGTATACAGTCATATGTGTGCCATAATCCGATTATGATACTGTCATTTTCCTGTGTCCAACATTATGACGGTATACGGCTCGTTTACATATTGTATTTTCACTGTGAAGAACTGTATACAGACCCTATTGTTTAACGTGAGAAGTACCATTTGTACTACCAGAATATGCAACGAGAAATTTTTCTCCAGTTTTCTATGCAGCATTATACTATCGGCGCCATTACTTTTGATATGCTCTAAATATGTCTTCATTCTAATTGATTAATACTTTCTTTAGAAACAAATATTCCTAACAGTAGAATAAAAGAAAAAAGAAGTTTGATATAAATAATTTTTAATATCGAATATATAATACAAAGCTGAAAACACACATATTCTGTAGGAATAAACAAGTATAAGAAAATTTTTTTTTCTATGCTGATATAATAACATTTCCATTTTTTAGATGTGTTACTTTAGGTAATGGTGCTCGTTTTTTTGTTAAGTGTTCATTTGTTGTTAATGATCCATGATCAATAAATGGATTAATACGTGATAATGATGGTGATCGAATATGTAATGGTATTCGTCGTCTTTCATCAATTGTTTTTTGTTGTCGATGAAATCGAGGTGATAAATTTGTTTGTGGTACAAGACCATGAACAAATGTTGATTTTGTTAAGTAAGTGTCATAATTCGAAGATATTACTGTTGATATTGGTTGTTGTTTTAATTGATGATGATAATCAATATTTATTGGTGAATCAGCTGATGTAGCTGTTGATGTTGATTGAGCAAATGAAGATGATGAAACTTTATCTTCAGATGATTTTGATGACACACGAAAACGATGTGATTTAATAATTATTATAATAATAAGTATAACAAGAATAAAAAATAATATTATAGCTATTGCTATAGCAATTAAAGTGTGAATAAATGCTGTTGTTTGATGTTGACGATTAATATGTTTATATGTTGACAATAATAGATTATAAATTGATGTTGTTGTTGAAAAAGGAAAAGGTTCATTGAATAATTCGTCATGAGTATGTCGAGATACTGTTGATGAACGACATTTATTTCCATCACAATATGTACCTATAATAAAATAAAATTGTTTTTTTTTCTTTCTGTTTGTTTTTACCTGTTGGACATTTTCTTATATTCGGTCCAATTCTTTGATCATCGTTATTATCAAATCCACATATTCCTGTTGGTTCTAAGTCACAATCAAATACACCATTAGTTTTTTTCACTTTACGTGTTAATTTTGGACAAACACAGTGTGATGTTTCACTATTATCACACCAATTTAAACAACGTCTTGGAAATTTTGTACAATTACTTTGATCAATTGAATCTGTGCAAAAACGTCCAATACCTGTTATATCAATATTTGATACATTTTCATTAAAACATTGACATGTTTGTGTTAATTTATTGCAATGTATAAGATCTTTAATGGAATATGAATTTTGACAATCTTCATCATATTGACATTTCGAATCAATCGGTTTTTCATAATTTATTTTAAAATTAAATGTTTCATTTGATGCTGTCAAATAAACTAATTCTCGTGAACAATCATATGCTTTACATGAACGAAGAGATATTTCTCCTAAAAGAAAAAAAAGATCTACTTTATTTTATTTTAACGCCTTTCGGGACGGAAAACACATATATATGCTTCAGTTTTGATTAGGGATCGTCGGGTTGGTCTGAGCCCGAGGATTTTGAACCTAACAGACTCTAGTTTTGATCCAACTAATAACTGACTTCAGTATGTCTCTTATAATGACGTAGCTCGAAACTTCTTTGACTAGCAAGGTAGCTAGCGGTGAAAATTGTCTACTACGGAGCTAAAGTTGTTTTTCAGCGGGAGGAATGCTATTCATTTTAGAGGCTCATCCCTCTCTAGTCACCTAGGGACTACGCTACCAGTCTCTTATGATACTCTGATGACAAAGACAATCCTGTACACTATGGATCCATCATTTCAAATATATGCTAAAAATATTATGCGTTTTGTGCTCTCGTTCATCTTCTTTCTTTCTTTCTAGCGGTAGACCCATTACTCCTATACTGTTTCGTTGGATGTTCGATGAATGACGACACTTAACTACTATCAATTTATCATGTAATATCCTTGTTATCTTCATATAAGTTCGATCTCTACTAATGATTGCTGGTTTTGCCCATCATCCTTATATATATGCGTATTGTCCCAGAGTTGAAAAAAATAATTATGTGTCTTCCCACAGTAAACTTGCTGGCAAGATGGTAATATAAAAAAACAAACCTGGCTGTAAAAAAAGAACCGATTGCATGCCAAGATCAGTGATATTCATAACACTCAATTGAGTTGTCATATATTCAGCTGTTGATAAGAATCGATTAGGATATTTATTATGTCTCATTGTATATTGACATTCAGTAAATGTCAAATTAACCGGCTGATGAGTACATCTTATTAATAAAGGTACAAGTAACATCCAACGATTACCTAAATTATAAATAAGTGTATTATTAATATTATTAGTTTGACCAAGTGAATAATAGCCAATAAAATCAATTGAATTCGAATTAAGAATATTTGCACCAAGTGTTATATAAAGATTTGTATCAAATACACATTCAGCTAATATAACAGATGTACGAATATATGGACAAGTAGCCAATATTTGGCTAACAAAAATGTGAACATAAACAAGAAACAATCGAATAAACATGGCATGGCATGTGTACTATTCACATCATCATCTGAAAAATAAAATTGTTGATATAGTGGATAGATCGATCAATATTTATTTGATTCTATAGTCTGCCCAGTTGGTGCTCATTGTCACTTATATCGTTTTATAAACAATAAGCAGACTTGCTGCCATGCATATATATATATATAAGATATTTTAATATGAAGTAGTGTGATTGGAACAGTATGGGCGGTAACCCTGTCGCACAGTACGTCTCCTCCTCTCATCATCATCATTATTCTATTGCAATCAATAAACTATCAAATATAGCGAATGCTTCTCATCAAATGCACACATCATGAGAATGTATGTTATGTTATCGTTTGACTCTCGTTCATACTGAAATAGACAAACAATTTATTTTGTTCAATAGTACATTCAATAGACTTTCACTTACTCATTCTTCATTCTATGCATGCTCAACAATTCTAAAATAAACTTACGAAGTTCTATTAATGACGTACAGTGAATATCAAAATTATTCAACGGAATTTATGTTCAATTTTTTCCGCTGTCGTAAGCAATAGAAAAGATTCAAACAGTGAGAAAATGATTTTCAAAAACAAAATAAGTAAATAAAAGTTATTATCAGATTCGCAAAGATAAGGTTTTCGGAAAACCCAAAGCCTCATTTTTTCAACATCTAGAGCGCTAGAGTAAATAATTCTCTACCAAATGAAATGTCTCTGAATTCTTTGCGACGTTTTTTTCTTGGCTGAAATACAGTAATTTGATTCAAGGTCAAAAAATGACTTTTCTGTGGAAAAAGAAACGACTTTAGAGGCTTTCGTAAGATTATTGTATCTCAGCTAAACAAGGACGCAAAAAAAAGCTTGGAGACATCTCATTTTGTTGACAACTATTTACTCTAATGTTCTAGATGCTGAAAAGTTAACTTTTTGATTTTCTGAAGCCACTATCTTTAGGAACCTGATAATAGTCTTTATTGCTTTATATTCCTGTTAGAATCAGTTGTCACTATTCGAGTCACTATTTTTAATCTTTCTGGTGCTTACGGCAATGTAAAACAAAAAATTTGAAAATAAACCTTGTTAAATAATTTTGGTATCCACTATATGTATACTTGCATCATGTAAAAAAATACACATTTTGAAGTATAAACTTCTATGAAATGATCAAAATCAAAATTGAGTGAATTGTTCAAATGTCATATATTAATGAATGGAAATTTTGATAATAGATGAATGTTGGCATGAATTAGAGTGTTAATGTATCAAAGAAATATAGTTAAAAACTGATGGTGAACAATGTTGATGTTGTATTTATCGTGACTAAAATGAATGATTTGCTCACTCACGAGTGCTAATAGGTTCCTGGTTGTATGCTTCATAATATTGTGGTCTAGTGATGATTGCGGATAATCGTGTCGAATTTCCGCAATACTCTTATTCTTTCTTTTCTCCAACGTTTACATCACACATACGTATAAGAAAGACTGAAAGAGAATCTTTCACTCTCTCTCCCTCTCTCGTGCGCCCCAAACGTTGTTTGTACAAATCATATAAAAGATAATCACTTTGTGATACATATATATGCACACATACGGTTACGTTCTGTTTTTTTTCTCTTCATTCTTCACTATGCCTTAGAAAACGATGCTAATTACTTGATCTATTCGTTTTTTTCTATTTTGAGCTAACACGTTCAGAAGGAAGTGTTTTACCTGTAGTAACAATTGACTACTTGGACATCTGTTCTATATGCCATTGGCAATAATAAAAATTAAATGAACAATACCATTTTTCCTTTTGAAATGATTATGATGATTGACAGTTGTGAGATTATATGACGACACAGTTCATTTGATGAATATAGGGTATTGTTAGTGTGTTTAGACGATGATGGTACCTAACATCATATGCTCTTTTGCAATAGATGTATCGCCTAGAGACACTCGAATATGATGGCATTGATTATGCAACAAGAACAACAATTTGTACGCTTTATAATGTATGTGAATGATCACTTCTAACAAGATTGATTTTCTCTTTCTTTTTCTCTCTCTGTCTCTCGTTTTGGAAACATATGCGCATAAACATTCCATGGCATCACGTACACTTTTGAAGATGAACAAAACAATATTCATGATTTATGTGTCTATAGATGATAATCATTTATTGTTTTTCTTTCAAGTGATCGAGATATTCAATAATCTTAAACTATTCGATGTCAAAGAAAATCATCACTACATGACTGTCATGGTCATTATGATTTGTTGTTGTTTACATGATGTTACAAATATATGTGAATGTCGATAAGATTCATTGATCTCTGTATATTCAGATGTGAATCAAATAAACGTCATATATTTTTCTAGCAAATAATAATAATAAGCAGTAACTTGAGCTAATACTCGTTATTTAGGTTTTGTTTTTTTCTTGTTATATTTTATATAAAAAATATTCAAATGAATTGCTTGATTAATATTCTTTTTCATGATAATATAAATGAGATATTTATTATGACATTTTGATTAGAGGGCATTAGAAAATGCCAATGATAAGCAAAAATGTCCGCAATCAATAACGGTTCTTAATGTTATTATTATTTCGAAAAAAGTTATTTTATTCATCGTCAACATTAGTTCCAATAATAAGTGCACGTTGATATGCATCAAGTTTTTCTAATGATTTTTTAGGTAAATTGAAAGTAGAACCTATACAAGAAAAGAAAAGAACGATTTTGCAATTTAGTATTTTCTTTTATTCGAAAATTCTTACTTGCTTCTGCTAACTCAGTACTCCAATGTGTTAATGTACAATTATTTTGTGCCAATAATTTTCTTTTTTTTCGAAACTGATCCAATGTTTGATTACTCACAAATGTTGTTGGACTCATACTAACATAGGCGACAATCCGTAAGAAATCAATTGATTGATTTTTTAATCCTTTATCAGAAACAAATGCACAAGAATTACAATGTACAAGACGAGAATCCCAGAGAACAAGATCACCAGATTGACAATGAATAAATTTTCCTATAGCATTTCCTCGATCTAAAATTGAATGAGAACTTGGAATTGCAACAAAATCTTTTGGACGATGTGCAAGATCATTTAATTCATTAAAACGTAAATGTGTATATGGAAAAACAATAAGACCGCCTGTTGTTTCATTATGATTGGTTAATGCAATAAAACCTTGTATACAACATCGATTAGGTTTTAAAATAGGATTTTGATCAACATGATACCAGCCCATAGTTGTTTTCCATTTTGGTTCATAATACCAATTACGAAAAATTCCACAACCGTCAAATGAAACTAATAATTCATTTGTATTCCATATATGAGAATAAACTCGTTTTATATTTCGATTTGAACGAATAGTCCACATAAAATCAGATTGACCAATACCACATTCATTTATAATACCAAATTGAGTATTACCAGGCCTAAGGAGATACTTTTAAAAAGATTATATTTCTATCATTTTTTTCTATACCAGTTATTCGACCATGTTGTCGGATCATTACGTTGAATATGACGTCCAGGAATGTTCTCTAGAAAATTCCATAATAATTCTTTATTCATATTAATTTCATCTTGAAGCATAACATCTCTAAAAATAACATAACCATGTTCATTTAAATGAGTTATACCATCATTAAGATTATCATTATTAGTTACTGAAAAACGCGGTGTTAATGTTGTATAATCAATACGCATATGATTTTTGTCTAAACAATAATTTATTGGATTATTATCGAACATTATTAATTGATTCAAATGGCTTCTTTTCAGCTGAGATTACTTACATATATATATATTAATAGTAATTTTGACATTACTTAGAAGAATTATGCAATAACTAATACACAAAAGAAGCCATATAGATATTTCGCAATAGAGATGTTATAGACATAACAGATGATTCGGAGTGAATTCATGAGCCCTCGGGGTTTAGACAGTTGTGATAAGAGATCCACCTGCTGTTGTTTTTTATTGGATTCAACACAAAACATATTTGTGTAGCTTTGATAATAATAATACAAAGTGATTCATTGATACCACACTAAAGTTTAATCCTTTACTTCCTATTGGCCATTGTTGACAGTGATCGGACTATTACAAGCATATTAAATACAAATATTTTTTATTTAACTATTGTACTTTGTACTTGTACTTAAGTACATTTTATTTAAATCTACTTGTACTTAGTACCACTACTTAATTTAATACAAATGTAGTTAAGTACCTTGTATTCTAGTACCGAAACTGATTACAAATGTACTTAGTACAAGGTACCTAAGTACAATATAGTATTTTACTTTAATTAACACTTCTCTATTAGTGTCTACTATTTTCGTAGTCTAATGACATCTGTGATAGATACCAAAACTAAACAGAAATTAACATTTACATTATCATATTTTTATGGGATGTAGGTGTGAAGTATTAGTCTTCTCATATGCATTATCTATTCTTGTCAGACATTTTTTGTTGGTTTTCTATTAACTATAAACTCGTTGGTTTCTTTTTATAAAAAGCTAATGTTTCTTTTACTGGAGATTTTTATTCAAACTAATAAAGATTTTGACTATTTGTTGAAATCTCTTCTATTGTTCGTGATTTAATTGTGCAGCAAAAATTTCTATTGAAGTATTTAATAAAAGGATAAACAAGAAATATGATGTCGTAGCAACAAAAAATTATCTCAGATAAAAATAAATGTAATACAAATGCGAAGTCCATGAAATTTTATATGTTCATTGTTATCTTGAAAGATTATTACAAGAAAAGTTCCATCTTTTTTTTGCTTTTTATGATTTTGATAATATTTTTGAGTTCTTACAATATGTCCAATAGCTAGGAGATACTTAGAGCCTTATATAAAGAAGAAAACTCCAAAAAATGCAAAACCTGTAAGTATTACGTCAGGAAAGAGAATATGATATTGACTGCTAGCGGACTTAAGTAAAATGTACCCACATATAAGTACAAAGTACAGCAGCTAAGTAAAAAGTATATGTACTAAGTATCCGATCATTGATGAATCCTAAAGCATTGAATCGAGACGGTTACCCAACATGATGCAGAGCCTTCAATGAGTTACAAATTCGTAAAAAACTAAACTTGTTTTCATCATTCCTTGGCTAAAATATATGAGTTTGAAAACGATGTGGTTGTTAAAAAAAATTGAGCAAAATCAGATTTTTTTTCTTTTATTTACTGACACAGGTTGATTATTTAGATGTTTGTGAGATTGATAGACACGACCATGGACATAATCTATTTGCAGAGTACAGTTTTTTTATAAAATTCCTTGGTTCCATTATTTTTCTAGGCTTATGTTTCTTCTATATAAACTCATAAATAGCAAGATCTTTATTCTAGTAACTTGATTGGAACTATCACTTTAAATAACTTTTTATGAAAAAAAAAGATAGAAAGCTGCAGCTTCTACTACAACCTAACCTTTCGGATAAAACCTCAGCTATAGAAATAGCTAATTTTGAACCGGATTCAGAACCTCAATGATTTTATATTCAAAAAAAAAGAACATGAATACCTTCTAACGCTAAGACATTTTTTGTCGATTCTACTTTTCAGCATTGTGACTCATTTTTGAAAACCTGTTTTCTGAGTGGACATGACTACGCGACTAAAGTGTTTAAACGCGTTTTCAGAAATTCTTGTCTGTTTGGAGATATAGATGAGGATATGCAAAAGATTCGCACTCATACTGACACACACGCAATGAATTGCCTAATCGCCGATTTTCACATACAACTTTGAACATATATAATCAATTTTAGCTACATAGACTGTACCAGTTGAAAAAAGTATAAAATAAAGTTTCTTTTTTTTTTTTTTTATTAAACGAAAAGAAAAACAGTAATAATGAAATCTTCTCTTCTTCTTTCTGTAAGTTCCTACTTTGTTGTTAAACTTTTTGGAAAGAAGAATAACGTGAGAAGAAAATATAAATCACATCACAACAAAACAAAACAAAATAAACGAGAGAAGAAAACACTAACAAACAAAACAATGTTAAAAAATAACCTATCTAAGTCTTTTCTTTTATGAACTGTTTATTTATTGCCATGTTTCACTGTATTGAGCTCTATTAATACGTTTGTCATCAAGAAGTACAATTTTCACATTATCACCTTGAACTGTACTAGCCCATGCTGGAATTGATGATGCAATTAGACGACCATGTATTGTACTATTTCCGATATTTTCAGCTTTATTAGAATAAACACGTACACGTGTTCGTGCTCTAAGTACATATGAATCAGGAAATTGAAAAACACTTTCTGGTCCATCATTTATACTACGAACAAGTGTCCATCCTTTAAGTGGTTGATCAACACAATTTGTTGAAGCATTATTTATTGAGATAAAACCTGCTTGAACTTGATCAATATCAAATTTACCTAAAATAATATTACATATTAATATTGAACCTTCTTCATTGGTTACTTTCATCTCACCAGTTTTTGATATAGCACGTTGTGTATCATTTTTTTTGACTGTAATCATTTGTTGTTGTTGTTGTTGTTGTGGTTGTTGCTGTTGTTGTTGTTGTTGTTGTTGTTGTTGTTGTTGTTGTTGCTGTTGCTGTTGCTGTTGTTCTTCAATAGGACTACTTTCCTGTTTACCATTTGGTATTGGTGTATGAGTATTATTATTATTATTATTATTATTATTATTATTAGATAACGATTTTGTTGTTTCTAAATCTAATAATCTTCTATATGTTTCTAATTCAAAATGTACAGAAAACCAATATTGTTTTCCAATTTCAATAGCTTCTGTTAAATGATTTATTTCATTTATTAAACGATTATATTCATTATCAAGACGAATACGTTCTTCATCAATTTGATTTTTCTCCTTTTGTTTTGATATATAAAGATCAATTAATGCTCGATATTCATTTTCAATACCTTGACGAGCATTTTCAGTTTGTTTTAGTTCATTATGAAATGTTTCAATTGATATTCGAGATGTTGACGGTATTTCTTGTTGTTTATTTGCTTCATATGTTAATATTTGTGTTTTTATTTGTTCAATACGTTCTGTATAAGAATTTTCAAGTATAGTTTTATTATTTTTTAATAATGTTTGAAAGTCATGTTTAATATCTTCAATAGCTTTATCCAATTCATTTGTATAAAATTGTTTTTGTTTAATTTGTTCATTAGCTAGAAGAAATAAAAGTACTTAATATAATTTAAAAATAAATTGCTTATGAATTCAGTAAAACATCTAGAAGTATTTTTGTTGTTAGTTAATAAGATTAAACATGGGCGAAGAAAAAGTGTTCCAAATAATTAAAAAAATTCACGAGAAAAATGTCTAACATATCATCTTCAAATGTAAGAAACAATAGAGTCCAAATTCTAACTTTTCTAAAACAAAATTTTGTTTTTACTTCAAAAATACTTTTTTTTTAATGTAACTCGATAAGCTCTATTTAACCATCACAAAAAAGCTCTGTTGAAATTTTCAATTGCAAAAGTCTTACATATACTGTAAGTATCATAAAATTCTAAAATCTCGATTCATGCACGGCAAGGATGGTCTGTATTTTAATTTTATCAGTTTGGCGATAAACGCTTGAATTTGGATCCGGATGAAATTGATGAAAACTTTTAGATCAACATGTACTCCGAAAACATTCAATCGAAGTTCATGAAGTAAAATTTGGAAGTTCGAACATGATAAATAGAAATTTTGGGTATCAAATCTAGTCACAATGAGGTAACAGTTAGAACTCTATAGATCTTGATCAATAAAATATTATAAATTCGTTCCGAACCAAGAAAAAATAACTGTTTGGTGATTTTAACAATCATTTTACGTATATTGAACATAGGAACCTGAAGAAAAGAACTACTATTTTGCCCATCTCCTAGAAATGATAAATTATTTTCGATTAGAGATTTACAAGGTAAGAGTTAGAAAATTTCTTTCAGTTAAGGTACAGTGTACGAGAAAAAACTTACCATGTACACTTCTACTGTGATACTATTTTGCTATTTATCATTTTGAGAATCTTTCAGCTGAGATTAAATCAAAAGAGAACGAAATAAAGGCTTATTAGTGGACAAAAACCAGATTATGAAACATCATTTACCTTTCTCAAAATAAGCAGACAATGTCTTCGAGAGGTGAATAGGATTTAAGAGAGACGACATGTTGGTACGTCGTCTATTATGGAGTGGGTCCGGTCGCAGGAAATTTTGTCTTTTTCTCCCGTCATACTCGGGNCTATTTTTCCCATCTCCTAGAAATGATAAATTATTTTTGATTAGAGATTTACAAGGTAAGAGTTAGAAAATTTCTTTCAGTTAAGGTACAGTGTACGAGAAAAAACTTACCATGTACACTTCTACTGTGATACTATTTTGCTATGTATCATTTTGAGAATCTTTCAGCTGAGATTAAATCAAAAGAGAACGAAATAAAGGCTTATTAGTGGAAAAAAACCAGATTATGAAACATCATTTACCTTTCTCAAAATAAGCAGACAATGTCGTCGAGAGGTGAATAGGATTTAAGAGAGACGACATGTTGGTACGTCGTCTATTATGGAGTGGGTCCGATGGCAGGAAATTTTGTCTTTTTCTCCCGTCATCCTCGGTTATCATTTCTAGTATTTCAACCACAAAAGTACTTTCTGCCGAATTTTTAACTCTTTCCACCCCTGAATATACTAATAAACTTGGGCTATAGAAACCGAAAAAAAGCTTGCCTCCTTATTTTTATTTTCAATTTAAGATAAAAATTTCTTACCAAGTTCAGCCTTTTCAGTCTCATAAATTGCTTTTTTTAATAATGTTTGTTCTTCTATCGTACGAAGATTACATTGAAGTCGAATATTATTCAATATAAGATCATGTAGTTCATCTTCAAGTTTTTTATGTAAATCATTCATTTGATTCGTTTCATTTTTATTTGCTTGAGATATTTTTTCTAAATCTTCATAATGACTTGCTAATTCTTTTAATTGTGTTAATGTTTGTTGATATTCATTTTCTAATGTTTGACGGCGTTTTGTATAGGAATGATCTTCTTCCGTACGAATTTTATCTTTAAGTACAGCTAATTCTTTTAATGCTCGATTACGTTTAAGAATAAAATGTTCAGTTAATACAGCTGATTCATCCATTTCATGTCGTAATTCATTCATTTGTGTTTCAAGATCTTGATTATCTTGACTTACTGAATTTTCTAAATAAGAAAAAAACAAAAAAAAATTTTCTTGAAAAGTTTTGAAAATTTTACTTTGTTTTTGTTTTTCTACATCAACTTTTTTTTGTAAATCATCATTTTCTTTAGATTTTCTACGTAATGCAAGAACATAATTTGAAAAACGATTATTTAATTCATCAAGTTCATTTTTTTGATCACGAATAATTGTTAAGTGATCTAAACTATTTATTGAATCATTATTTAAATTCATTTTTTCTGTTGTTGCTACAATAGGATAAGTATTTGTAAGTGAAACATTATCATTTGCTTTTGTTGTTGTATTTGTACTATTAGCAAGAGGTGTTGTCTGTGATTTAACACCAGTTAAAATTTGATAATGTTTTTCTTTCTTTGAAGGCATTTTTAAACACGAATGTAATCTAATGTGTAAAGTAAATGTAAATGTGTTTATTTCTTTTACTTATTCTTCTTCTTATAGTCTATGAATATACAGACACATGATAAATTTTCAATCGAGGGTTTAAAATATAGATTCGTTTTATGTGAATCATCATATGATGAAATAGATAGAAAAATCAGCTGGATCATAACGATCATCGTCTATGATAAAACAATCAGAAGATGTCTATCTATTTCACTTAGTTTTGAGTGCATATCATTTCTATTATCATATAGATAGTACATATAGGCTTATTTAAGCTACATACACTTTCATTAGAAATCATTCAGTACATTTCAAAAGAGAGAAGAACTATCATGCTTTAGATGTATGTATACGTACATAGATGAAAAAAAGTATAAAGTTTAGCAAATAAGAGATTTTTGTAATATAGCGTCATTTATTTTGTGAATCATGAAACATTTATTTATTTATGTTCTATTGACTCATGGAATTATGTCAAACAGTTGGTGAAGTGTTGAAAAACTCTTTAATATAGTTTTTACTTTCTTAGACTGTGTATGTAAGGTAAGAAATTTAAAAAGAAACGAAATGTCGTAGTAAAAACAAAAATTAGTCATTTCTTTTGAAAATCAAAGTTTGCTCTACTTCGCTGAAACTGTTTTATTCGAATTTAGCACAAAAAATGGTGGTATCTACATGAGTTTGACGTAGTTTTATCGTCGAGGTCCGACTTCATTAGTTTTACAAGTCTTACTTTTGATCCAACTGACACATTTATCTTGCTAATTTATCCCTTTTTTTATAATAAGAGCTCAAAGTGTTTCCCATATAGAATTCGAAATATCTGACCTATAGGAAAAAAATTACGTATCCTTTTAATTTTGTGCCATAGTATTGTTGAGATAATCCACTTTTCCCACAACTATGACGAAAAATATGATGATACTTTTATATTTTCACTGCAAAAGGTTTAACTTTGGACTAAATAGATACAACATTTAAAATCAGCATAAAAGCTGCATTGAATAAAATATAGTTTTTTAAGAAATGTTTTCCGTCAAAACTGGTCTCTAGTCCAAAATTGAGTAAAAAAAAAATAGCCAAGGGGAACTACACGGCAAATTTTGAAAGAAATGATTTTAGATGATTTGACGGTTCTCAAAACAAATCAAAATGCAATTTACATTCAAATGAAAAATCTTTTCATATCCGCAGAGTGATGTTTCAAACTATCAAAACGCAGTAATAAAAAGAAAATTTATATAAAAGATATCATCCACTCAACGCATTTCAAAAAAATACAATTTTAGTTTGAAAAACGAACATATACAATAAATCTTAATAGTAGAAGATTCTCTAAGGAAGCGATCCATAAACGACATCCAGGTAAAGACAGGAGAGAGGGATCCTGAAAACTGGATAGAGGAGAAGGGAGGGTCGAGCCTTCCTGGATGCCCAGAGAGTTGTCAGGAATATTTTTGCTTTTTTATAACTTTCCGAGAAATGTAGAATCTTAGTTTATTTTAAAGTTCATTTTTTAAATGAAATGGTTGGAGATATATATGGTTTTGAAATTATTGACAATAATGCTCTATCGAAAACTTTGCAGATATGAACTGAATTGTGTTTTTGAGCTTCATTAGTACTGAAATTGCCTCTTTTTCATATTTTAACTATTTTTTTCTAATAAAAGTCCAATATATTTAAATACTAAAAAGCTCACAACAGATTATATTTTGTGACTTTGATAGCTGTACAGTAAAAATGAAGTACTTGTTTCATGTTAATCTTAGATTCGGACGAATGTTAACCTGACCTAGATCAATATCAGATGTGAGATTGAACTACCTAGTAGTAAAATTTCTGATTCAGAAAACAGTTTACCATAAAACTCAAACCAGTCTTTGAGTAAATGTCAATCATTTTGCTTTTGATGCTATTTCAACAAATTCAGTACTCAATTGACCAACTGAGCGCTAGTTTCATGAGTGATGAGCGACTTCTTAGAGAAACTGTTCTACTGTGTAAAGCAGTTCATAAATGCTATAATCATTTTTTGATCCGCTTTCTGATGATTCTATCGATTGAAACTTCATTGCCTCTGAGCAGTTCCTCAATAACAATCCAAAGCTGGCATTTTGAAAACTGATTCGAGTTTTGGGATAAATCGCTTTCTCAATCTGAGATTGAAGCATTTCAATGTTGGGTTGAGATTCGCCTAGGTCTATGCAGATCGATCTCAGTCTTACAATCATGTGTAACATAAATTTAAACCGGCAGACGTTTTATGAAAATTTTTTGTGCTGAACGTTCGAGAGCGGAGAGCGGAGAGCGGTTCATGGATCTTCACAAGATGGCGTTAAAAAAATCGATTTTTACCTGGACGCTCTTTATAGATCACCACATTAAGCATATTTACTTAATGAAATTAAAATTGAATTAGAAATTAAGTTAATTAAAAAACTATAACAAATCAAAAAAAAAGCTTTGCGTTAATACAGTACCCAAAGAGAAACAGAATAAATTCTGATTATTCTTGACGAGTGTTGAAAATGTCATCAGGCATGATTTTCAGAAAAATCGCTGGACAAATAGTCGTTTTAAGCTTAAATTTAATTTTTTTGATGATCTATTAAATGCAAAAATACATGTAAAAAGCTAAAATCGATTTTTGAGATGCTTTAGATTTATTAAGCTCGTCATTCTAAACAACTTTGCTTCTGAGAACACCTCAGAATTCTTTATAGATTTGCTAAAACTTAAGTTTTGGTGCGTAGAGTAAAATCTGCTGAGATTATACATTCACCCCATATGGGGTGAATGCATACAAAAGTTTTTTTGGGAGCCCTTTTTGTAAGGCTAATAAAAATAGCATAGTCTTGATTTAGAATTTTAATATTAGTTTAAAGTGGTAGATAAACGTTCGATCTATCTATTGATAAAAAAACTTTATAAAAATATTATATTTGACGCTTGAAAATTAGGTTTTAGTATTTATGTAGAAAATAGCTGAGATTATACATTCATCCCAAATGGGGTAAATGTGAAATTGAAAGATAGTGCTCAAAGCGCTCCTTGTAGATAGCTTAACTCACATGATTTCGAGGAATGGATTTCACCAATCGATAGAGGAGAGATCGAGCTAAATGTCTTGTGAAGAAAAATTTTTCAAAAAAATGAAAAATAAAAGAGTTATAATTAATATAAACGAGCACACTCGTTTTTTGTCTACATTCACCCCGTCTTACTCTAGAAAAAATTCAACAAGTAATAATAATGATACAAAATTTGTTAATTTAGCTTCATTATATTTTCTTATTGGTTCAATATCAACATCATCAATAGCATCATACATTATTTGTACCCGACCATCTTGTCGTGCTAAAACAAATAATGCAAGTTGTAGATAAGAAAAAGAATACTTACATACTAAAAAAAAAAAGAAAATGATCATACAAAACATTCATTTTTCAAACAGCATGAGATTGTACACATCATCTAAAATTCAAGAATAGAATTGAAGGTTTTTTAAATTCATTTTATTGACTTACTACGACTATAAGTGCCAAATTTTGGAAATTTTCAAAATCTTTCCAAAGTTTCGTAAATTCTTCATTCATCTTTTTTACTTCATTTGATATATTCTTCAATATTTGTTTATTCGATAATTGATTCAATGAATTTTAATGAGCAAGTTCATGAACATGTTGAGAGACTCTTTTTGTTTAATCTCAAATAAATAAATTTCAAACTCGAAATATTTAATCTGAAAAAAAACAATTTTGTTAGTAGACGATTAGAGCCTGATGATTGACTGGATCAATAGCAAAATGAATCATTTACCGACGCTAGTTTGAGGCTTTTTTTTTTCTAAATGAATATTAACAATTTTTCTATCTTAAAAGAATTAATATATATGTCGTACCGAAGCTACATTTATTGATAAATATTTTGAAAAGTGTACAAAACATTGAGAACAAAATCTTTTTATTTTGGTAATGCTTTTCCGTTTTTCATCCAGGTCAATGTTTCTGGTTTCCGAAATCGTGGGTATCGAACAGAAATTCGCCTAAAACACTCGCGAAAATGGTAGGGACTTGGAAGTAGAAATCTGGTGACCCCATCCGGTGGCCAGATTCTTCTAGTTCCGACCGGAAACGACTTTTGTACACTTTTCAAAATATTTATCAATAAATGTAGCTGTAAATATTGCTGAGCTGAAAAATCAACTTTAACTATATGCTTTAGCATGATAATGATCATTTCTTG